ACTAAAAAATAATAAAGCTCCAGGACACGACGGTATAATTGCCGAGCTCTTGAAAACAAGCAAGACATTAACAATCCCTGTACTAACAGAGCTGTTTAATAGATGTCTCCATAATAGCCAGATCCCTAAAGACTGGAACGAGAGTCTAGTAATACTCAATACATACATTTGGGGACATTCGATGAGTGTTCAATTTAAGATGTGGACTTCTATATTTGAATGATCGACCTGGCAGAAATGATAAAAGAAGGTTTTACTCAATGTGTAACATTGAAGGAAAGGTAAGATTTGATACATTTTTTGGGAACATGACCGTGTTAAGACAGATTAGGTTAAAGTGGTTTGGTAGAAATGAACTTAGTAGAGTGGAATAGGTACTATGATGATACAGGGAAGGGCTTGGCTGAGTTAGTAGATAATTGTAGGGAGGCATGTCCGTATAGGTAGTGAGTTAGTGAGTCCATTTAATTACTAAATCGATTAGCATGGTGTTAGTTCAATAGGATGAAAATATTAAAATTAGCATCAATAATTTGTTAACGTATAGCTATTGATCTTTTCATCTGTCATGTGCTTCTATCCTGTTATTATTATTATCCAGATGTATTATACATTGTTATTATTGTTTAATCTAGTGCGAAGTCTTACTCAATATGATATACACATTTAGTTTATTACTATAACATTTATATGAATATTTATTTAATTTATTATTTATTAGTTTTAATGACCTTGTTAGATGGAATACATTGTATTATATTTTTTTCAATACGAAATAAAAAGACATTATTAATTGATTGAATTATTAAAAATATTTTATATTTACATCTATTTAATTTAGTACTATAAATACCAACCTATTCTCTGTGGTTTTTATTGAACGATTTCATTTTAAATAAAATTTCAAATTACAAAATTATTTTCATCAGCAGTTCACTACTCCAATCGAGAGAAATACTATTATTTATAATTGAATTCCCTAGATTAATCCAATTCTGAAGCATTTGCTTGTTCTAAATTTAAATGAAATATTGAATCTGACAAAACGAACAACTTATATTTACAAAGGTATTAAACTAGATCTGGATGCTATGAGACACAACGTTCATGTTGTAGTAGTTTTATTGTGTTAATGTTGTCGTAGTTTTATTGTGTTAATGTTTCGCGTTATATTTAGAAAATGTACCTACTAAAATGTATTATATCTTAGAATAGCAGGAAGGCTGTAAAATGTTTCACAATAAGATAATGACACAAATATTTACTCGTTGGAAAGGTTGCTCGTTAAAATTTTTACAGATGGGCGATTTTTATTTGCAAGGTATGGTAGTACAGGTGGTATAAAAATGAAAGGCGCAGTTGTTAAACATCCTTTTAACGTAAAATCAGGCAGGCACAATAAAGCTTGTTGATGCAATTATATCTGATGTAATTACAAAAAAATACTTAATGATTCACGTTGAAGTATTTGTTTTAGCTAAAAGTCAGCCGGTGTATAAGAAATACCCACTATGGCATAGGCACTGGTAGGTTACTATCATTATGTAAGCATGAAGCACATCAAATACCTGAAAGAAACTTTTTATAAACATTCAAATTAGATCTCAGAATCTTCGAAAAAGAAACACTTGAAGTTCGAACGAAAAGAGTATCTGTTTATGTTTTTTGCCCGTCACCATGCGACGGGGGATCCAATCAATTGCATTTACAATTACTCCACAGAATTGTTTCTGTCTTCCTCCTATTCAAGGCTAGGACGACAACAGAATAATATTTTAATTTGTTGTACATAACATATAAGTTACTTTTGGAGAGTCGCTGAACTTTTTGCGTAGAGTTGTGTTATGAAATCAACCTACGTATTAAACCAACGTAATTCTATTTTGTCAATTTATTTGTTGGGAAAGCTAGAGTTTTGTATTATACTTTTTATCGATCACCAAATTTGCAGCCATTTTTTTAGGATAAACAAAATGTTCAAAAGAATTAAAAATTAAATTTTTAAAATAATAAATTTCTTGCATGAAAGGGCCGGCCTTTTCGCCTCCAGATAAATATTGTCCTATCTGACAGATAGTTATCTGAAGGATAGACATTTATTTATAAAGTAAAATGTTACTTATCTGTAAGATAAATGTAAAATTATTTCGGAACACTCCAATATTTAATTAATAGTCAAAGAAATCAATAATGTTTTAATATCTCTTTTGATTATACAATTTGTGGTAGCAGGAATAAATTAAATTATGTAAAGAAAAATTTAATAACAAATAAAAAAATAAACTGTTGGTAAAAACAACTTTAGTGTTTTTCCATAATACTAAAATATTATATAAGGTTAGCTCAAACATCTTCAACTTCAAAAAGTTTAGTAATATCTTCATTTAGCAATTCATCTTCAAAATTGTCTTAATTTTGATCTCTCGCTAGGTTATATCTGTAGAATGTTGCTGTAGATTAGAACAGTTGAATCTTTTCAACCTTACAGCCACTTGTACTGGATGAAAAAGTAACTAAACCTTATTTTCCATACATAAAAGGTTATGTTTCATATCTGGTTCTAATATGAAATTCATTATAGAAATTGGATTGTTTAGGGGACTTCTTAAAAATGGCTTTACTTTATATCTATCTCAATTTAAACTTCTTATTAAGGATACAGAATTATTTATTCCTACCTGGTAGTTATATAGAAAAACATATCCAAGAAGTATCACGAAATTGTCAGAATATAAAATAAATATTCCATATATCATATTATAGAAGATTTATTAAAAGTTTTGAAAATTTACTACTATACTTTGAATATTGTGTACACTTACTCTGAATCTTTTTAATATATAATTGAATGTATTGTTAAAAATGCCAACATTCATGGAGAAATCCAGGTACAATTAGGAATTGAAGCAGAAAAGTTCGTCCATACTGTTATATACCCATAGTTGCTGACATCGAAGAGGATGTTATATTAGGAATGGACGTAATGAATATGCATGGATTCCAATTAGATTTTAAGAATAAGTTAATCGAAGTTGATAACGGGGAGGTATTTCTTCATACACATGATGACAACACTATGCAAGCAGCCGTTAAAGAAGATACAGTCATGCCTGCGAGAAGCGAAACGATCATAGTAGCGCGGTTACTGGGAATTGTGGACAAAGGGACACCTGTTATGATGGAGCCTTGGAACCATGATGACGAGTTTGGCTGAGGAATTATAATTGGAAAGGAATTGGTGACTTCGGCTAAAAAAATACCTGTGAGACTTATCAATTCCAATGACTACCCAGTGACTATCAGGAAAGAGACAAAAGTAGGAACTTGTGTACCTGTGACATCCATAATCCGTCAGAAATATCCGATAATTCCAACGACAAATTCGACCAAATAGATGCGACTGGACAGTCTCTAAATCAGATGGAGAAAAGGAAATTAAGGGAATTTCTTTGGCGGTATCGTGATATTTTCGTACCGAAAGAAGAAAAGACGGGAAGAACTACCGTTGTTAAGCATAAAATTGATACTGGTAATGCTAGGCCAATTCGTCAAACGGCTCGACGATTCTTCTTCTTTGAGTACCGTGCCCAGTTTTAGGCGTGGGTAGCTTCCATGATGATTTGACGATATCGTTCTCGATCTTGCGCGGCATGTAATAAATCATTTGTTGATAAGTCAGTCCATTGACGAAGGTTTCGGAGCCATGAGTATTTCTTTCCACCAATTTCTCTTATTTCAGATCTTTCCGTTGATTATCAACTGCATTATCGTGTATCTGATTCCTCTCATTATATGCCCCAGATATTCGACTTTTCTCTTTTTTATCATCTATATTAAGTCACCTTTACCTTGACCTACTGTGTTCAAGACTTCTCTGTTTGAGATGTGCTCGACGATTGTCACAGGCGAAAAAAGAGGCTGAACCAATTGTTCAAAAAATTAAGAAAGACAGGGTGATATAACATTCTACAAGCCCACGGGTCTCTCTGGGGGTCCTGGTTAAGTAGAAAGCCGGAACGACGAAGTTCTGTGTGGATTACCGTTTGCTGAACAACGTTACTAAGAAAGATAGTTATCTTCTGCGTCGAATCGACGACACATTGGACACACTGGCTGGAAGCAAATTGTTTTCTACTTTGGATTTGAAGTCTGGATACTGGAAGGTTGAAATGGACACAGTAGATAAAGAGAAGACATCCTTCATCACAGGATCTGGATTGTGGCAATTCAACGTTATATCATTTGAACTCTATAATGCTCCTGCGACATTTGAGAGGCTTACGGCAAATGTGTTAAAAGGGTTACCTTGGAAAACATGCCTGGTTTATCTAGATGAAATAATCGTCTTGACGGAGACATTTGAAGATTATCTGACGAATTTAGAAAACATGTATCGCTCATATTTAACATATATTTAACGATAACTCAACAACTAAAATGTTTTATATCCGATTACCCAGGACGATTATATGAATTGCTGAACAACAAACTGAACCATACCAGATCTTGTGGATCTTGTATATCGACATTCCAAGATTTATTACAAAATTTGACAAAATAATTTGACTTCTTACATCTTCACGTAAATTTGATTTTTATAAATTTATTTATTCTATTTTATTTGAGCATACTGTATGCACATTTTGTCTTTTTGTTAGTCTATATAATCCGATGTCTAAATTATTCAGTTGCATTATGGCTAATACCACATATTTGTTTAGAAATTTCTTAACGCTATGAAGAAAATAATAGTACATAAAATTTGTAAAAATTCTTGAATAAATGTAGCGCTATCTCTAACTTTTACAAAAAAAAATTTACGCTACTGGAAGATCAAGAATAGCTTAGAATGGTCATCACCACCTCCTGGAATTTAGTGCCTACAATTCTGATACTCTGATATTAGATTAAATAAGTCCACTCTAGCACTCAATCAAGATTTAGTTCTATTATAGTTGAGTTCTATTGTAAGCATTATTTTATGTGATGTAGTTACTCACCTCTATTTCTTCGTTAAGTCCTTTTAACTGTTGAATGAACTCCGTGGTCGTTCGAGCTCGTTCCGATAACTGTTGTAAGTTGTGCGACAAATCGGTCTGAAAAATAATAATTATGTTAATGATCCGTTCTTACGATTTACTTATCTTTAGCACTTAATCTTTTAATAAATTATTCATGAGTGGATATAGTGCAGTAAAACCTTCTTATCGTATTGCAGCGAAATATAAATAATCGTATATTTTGAGTTAAGTCGACAATTACTATGGATTAGAAAATTATAATGCATAATTGTTCCTAAATAAATTATTAAAAATATGTAAAAAAATAGGTAGGTATGTAGAAAATTGCCATCATTTACTACGACAAACATAACTTTGTATGGCGAAACGACTATGAGAACTGATATTTTTTTCTCCTAGTACCGATTCCGCTAATGAAAGTTGGCTATAACCATCGCAAATTCATCTCTACCTTTGTCTTTTCTTAAAAGTATAAAATGACTGTGTGTTTAACCCGGTCCAGTCGTGATTTTTTTTTTCAGCAAGATGTTTGTCGCCTACCAGGACCCGTTTTTCTTCGATTTTACCGTTCATAATCAACTGGAACAATCCGTACTTATCATTTCTAAGTCTGTGTACCAAATATATGGTCTTTCTCCTTTTAACAGTGATAAAATGTTCTCTACATTTTCCCATTTTGTGCAACAAAATCTATGCATAATATTTTTAAAAGTCAATATTATCATTTTAAGCTTTGGCGTTATAATGAAGAATATAGTGGTTATAAAATTTTAACATCCTATATCAGATTTTCAGACGTGTCTTTGGCTATGCAGAACTTCCCTCATCGTCAAAAAGGCTGCTCTTCATTGCTCTAGTCTTGATCAAATTTGTGATTCCGGATTTAGAGTTATAGTAATTCAGACTCCCAATTTTTTTATTATGTCCTTGTTCAATATCTTCCTTTTTTTTATCTGGATCGTTGTTATAACTTTGCCTCTCTTAATGATAACCATGGTTTTTGTTTTCTTTATGTTGTTCAGTCTGCAGGTCTTTCTCGTTTTCCGCGATAATGACTGTATTTTCAGCATAACAAAAATGTTATTTATAGTTTCACCATTTGTCTATATCCCTTCTGTACAATTTTTAAATGTTTGTCAAAATAACTCTTCGAATTATATATTAAATAATAATGGTGAAAGAATACATCATCGAAAGCTTTCTCATAGTCTATAAAAGTTGATCTTTAAAAATCGTAAATCAATCTTTTTTTTTGGTCTCGACAGTGATAGTTTTAAGTATCTACAATCGGTATTCAAGAGCAATAGGGAAACATAAAAATGCTTGCAGTAGATTAATGTAAGACGGGTGATGGACTAAGGCATTAAGATCCAAAAAACTGAATGCAAGTTTTATAAAACTTCCATAAGATCAACTGTAAGGATCTAATACTGAGTGTTAGGCAGTTGCAGGAAGAAAAATATCAACAAATGCATGTTGCAGAATTAAAAATGTATATGGATGAGTGGAGTGATAATACAGTATACAAATAAAAATTAGAAGTATATGTGTGGCAAGAATTGATGCCAAAATAAAAGACGATATTATATTAAGATAATCGGTGCACAAAATAACAATCATCCAATTCGTTACAATATAATAAGTTAAATATTTAAATGTTTCTTATTTCTGATTTCGTTTATAAAAAATACATTAAAATTCAATGTATATGCACATTGCTCACATAAAATATATAAAACCGAACCTTCCCTCTCTTTATTTTTTCCTTAAGACACTGTCCTCGTTTATATCCACAACATTCTGGTTTATTTAACAGCACCGCCCTGTCGAAAATCAAGCTAATAATAAACCTTGTACTGTTGTGAAACAGCAGGTAATAAAAATTAAAATCAAAGTACTCTAACAGGAGTAGATATTAACTGCAAAATTATCAATGACTAAGATGTATAATAATATAAAGTTATAATATTGTTGATCAGCATATGTGAACCAAGAGCCATTCAAAACATCGGATATCGCTATTATGACAAATCATAATAGACAGTCATCATCATAGTAGACAGTCATCATCATCAACTAGCCTCTAACGTCTACTGCTGAACATAGGCCTCTCGCATGATTTTCCACTTAGTCCGATTTTGCGCCATCTGAATACAATTGGTAGTCACTCTTTTTATGTCATCTGTCAATCTCGTTGGGGGTCGACCTCTATTTCTGTTAGCTTGTATTCGGGGTCACCATTCCAAAATTGTTTTCTGTCCACCGGTCATTACCTGATCTTGCTACATGACCTGCCCAGTTTCACTTTAGTGTTGTTATCCTTTCAATAACGTCTGCTACTCCTGATCTTTTGCGTATAGTAGCATTGGGTATTCTACCACGTAGATAAATCCCTAACATTAGTCTCTCCATTGCCCTTTCCGCAACTTGTAGTTTACTCACTGTTGTGCTTGTGAGTGTTAGGGTTTCTGCGCCGTAGGTCATCACTGGCAAAATACACTGATTAAATACTTACCTTTTCAGACACGTTAGAATCTTAGACCTAAAAATATCCTTCATCTTTCCACATGCAGCCCAAGCGACGTTTATTCTTCTTTTCAGCTCGATTGTTTGGTTGTCTCGACTTATTTTGATCTCATGGCTCAAGTATTTATAGGAGTCAACTGGCTCAATATCTTTGTCTTCTACTGAGATGTTTTTGTTGTGGACTAAATTTGTCATAAATTGTGTTTTTGAAAAATTTATTTTAAGACCAACTCTTTTTGTGGCAGTATAGAGTTCTTGGAGCGTTATCTATGTCTGCAATAATCAAATCTGCAAATTTACGGTTATTTGAAAATTTTCCGTCTACATTGATGCCCTTTTCGTTCTAATCTACTGTTTTACAAGCGTATTCTAGCAAACTTGTAAATAATTTAGGAGACATGTTGTCTCCTTGCCAAACGTCTCTTTCAATACGAAACGTCCCAATATCTTCAATAATTATATCTTCAATAAGTCTTACAAAGACTGTAGCATGCTGATAAATGTATCTAAAGGGATATGTATCGGTGATCTATTCTACATTGTGTTAGAGCTTGGAGCATTTCACTTTGACAAGTAGACAGTACAAGAAGAAATATGTTGTTGATAACTGCACGCCGTGAGAATACCCCATTTAAATTGTATGGGATAATTACTGGTATTAACAATTTTTTTTATAAAGGTATTATTATTTTATAATAAGTTCTGTTCAGTCGAGTCGATTAGTGTTATCACTACCTAGGTATATCACAGAAGTTTTTAACACAGATATTTCCTATTCAAACTTTATAGAAAGTGAAACTTTTCGGTAAAATAAAACATTTACTAATAGCCACATGGCGACATGCGACAGTTACATTTACACTTAAAATCAAATGTTTTCAAAATAATAACTTTTATTTAATTAGATATCTACGCTACTGTTCAGTGGAATATCACAATGTTCACTAACAAAGTCTTACTCGCTCTTGCGCCCCTAAATTTTCCAAAGTGTTTTGGTTTTTCTTTATCTCGTTATTAATTTTGTGCAACATTTCTATTTTTACAACGTCAATGAGAACACCAATAAAATTAAAGAGTGGATTAAATACTATCCAGAATTAAAAATCGCATTATTTTATTTGTACTTAATTTTTAAAGTATGATGTATTTCAGCATTTCAAATCAAAGATACATACATAACGAACCAAATAGTATAAAATGGATATCCTTAAACAATAAACAATAACTTCTTCACTTGCATATAATTGTGATGAAAATGGATAATTTAGTTGCAATGAATTTCTGTAATGCTATGTTGGAGTCAAATATTTATGTTTATAAATCTTGAAAAACACTGCAAAAGACGCATTAAATTACCTTCCATAAAAACTGTAGTTCTCGCTTATATAGAGACAAATTCCCATTATTTTTCCTTTTGGGATTTTTTAAATATCCATTGTGTGTAAAATGTATCTTAACGATTAATTTTAATTTACGAATAAGGCTGCAACGAAAACAATGTTACCTAGGGTTTATTTCTGATAGAACAGACTTCTACAAACCATAGATTTCTTTTGTTTTTCAACAACAAATAAAATGCTGTTTGCAAAATTTTTATATTATAAACGCTGAAAAAGCTATAGAGGGAAAATTTTGAAATTGGTAAAATGTTTGCCAAGCTTATTAGTTTTATTATAAGTCTGTTATCCCCAGAGGCACACCTTTTATACTTATAGATTACATTCATCTATATAAAAAGCCACTTCAGTAAAAATTTCAGGACGATCCGCTGAATGCTGAAAAAGTTATATAGGGAAATGTAACTTATTCATTAAAATACACGCAGTAAATTTCGCGATTTTTCATTGAAATTAACAATTTTTCGTCTCACAAACTATTAATTAATTTTAAAAAATAGCCTGAGGACATTCTAATATACTGGAAAATAGTATATTTATTGAAAACAATTTTAAAATATCATTTAGAAGTCGTCTGAAGGGTAATAAGTCGAGGCTTCTATGACATTAAAAATAATGGGGATTTGACCATATTGCGACACCCTGCAATCGATTAAAAAAATTGTTGGAAATAAATATATATGGTTCAGTGTTATCAAACCTATTAGTGGTAGTTGTGAGACTTATATTAAAATGAATTATTAAATTAATTTAGGATTATATTAAATTAATTATCACTAAGGAAGGCACTAAGTTAAACAAGTAGCAACACCGTATCTAAATTTATTCATAAAGGTTTGCCAAAATTTGATTTAACATTAACTGTAGCCAACGAAAAAGTTCCATCAATACTTTTAGATGCAGTTGTGTACATAATTAAAACTGCGACTAACTTAAAGGAATATTATGAAAGTTTAATTTATTGCAGTTGTACGGTCTCTATTATCAATAAAATTGCTGAGCTTATAAGATAACAATTCCCATCGGTGCATAAATTAATCAGTTATTGCAAGAAAATCTTTGCGAAAGCCCCATGATGGTACACAAATTTAAAGAAATATTACCAAAATATTCAACTTTCCCCAAAACTTATTCCAAACAGAAGGAAATTCC